CACACACTTGACCTGCGTGAATGGGGATCCGACTCGGGACCCGTATGATATGTAAGAGGATGCGCGCTGCGTGTGCGCTGAGCAAGGGGCTACACTGTTTCGGGACCAGAACGTAGGCGAGGTGCCAAAAATAGGCTTATCGGGTGACATAAACCCGGCTCCTGCAGGATGAGGGTTAATAGACATGGTAGCATTTATATCTTTCTTCTTCTCCAAACACGTCCCATTCCCAACCCTGATCCCAGGCTTAAAAATTTCACAACTGACATGTTTCATGACCTCACTAAAGTGAGACTTTAAAAAATCTTCAAAATTGCGATGGTTCTCTTCTTTTTACATGGTGAGTTTAGGTGGTGACATCAACATAATGAAAGTGAGCAATCACTGGTGGTGACATCAACATAATGAAAGTGAGCAATCACTGGTGGTGACATCAACATAATGAAAGTGAGCAATCACTGGTATTGTAGTCAGTTCAGTCAGGTTGTTCCTTATGTACATAGCTCTATGTCAGTTTGAGAAATTGAAAATTTCTTGCAGACATTTGATCAGTCTCTATGTAGAGCTATAAAATTTAACTTAGTACAAGTACTTCGTCAAAGTCCCTATTGAATGACTGTTTATTCATCAATGAAACTTAATTCAGTCTTTTGTCAGCTTAGAATTCAAAATTGCTCTATCCAGTAAAAATTCAGTCATATCATGAGTTATAATGAGTATAGAGTGATACATGGGACTCATGAGTAATAATAGTTTGTCCATCAATGTCTGACGATGACTAGTGCATCTGCAGAAGAAAATACTGGGTATTTCTAAAGCAAAATAGAAAGAGGAAAAAAGGTTTTAGCATACTTCTTGTGACTTTTGCTATGGTCTTGTGAAGTTTGTGTTATCAGGGTTTTACTGTACTTTTGATAGGCAAGAATGAAAATTTCCAGAACTGTTCATAGTGTTGTAAAGTTGCACATCTTACACTGATCATCGGTTTTATTGAATCAGTTCCTAAGACATGTTTGAAAAGTTTGTTCAGAATTGAGACTGGTGCTTTTAAGATTCTGGGACAAAGTTTTGTTTTAGAGAATTGTCTACTGTAATGGCTTTGATTTTAATAAAAACAAAATCATGTATTAAATGTTTCATTTACAGATAATGGAGGAGCATCCATTTCCTGGTGCCAAGATAGCTGACTCAAGCTTTTTAGATGCCTCTTCAGAGAGGAGCCAGTGCTCTAAGTGTCTTAAGTCTCGGAAGTATTACTGTTACAACTGCTTCATTGCTCTCCCAAATATTGCATCACGACTCCCTCATGTCAAGGTTTGTTATAATTTTTGTTTGGTAAATTCCCTGTAGCTAACACTAACAGTTTAGTTGAAGAAGTACTCTGTTAATTAATTGTAATAGATCAGATGGAAGATAAGATAACATTTCTGATTGATCTTCACAAAGAAAAATTTGCTGTTGCACAGTAAATACAACACACCTGCCCCGCCGCCACCGCACACACCACACACACATACACACACACACTCGCGCGCACACACAAACACACATTTGTATACACAGACACATACACATGGTCACTGGAACAACTGTTTAGTAAAATAGTTTTAAAATTGCTATTGACATCCTACATACTGCGTGGGGGGTTGGCAGGTGCTCTGGTGTGGTTTGCTCATTCTTTCCTATCAAACATTTATCATCATCATCTCTCCTCTCTTTTTGGTTTTGTTAAACTCTTGTATAACACCTCTAATCTGTGGCACTTATATATGACTTAATTGTGTTGCAAGTGCTGTAAAACTTAAACTAACTAAAAGTGTGTTTTAAATGAGTACTGGCATGGACTCTCTTTCAGCTTCCAATCCATGTGGACATTATCAAGCATCCCAGTGAAATTGATGGGAAAAGCACCTCTCCTCATGCTGCTGTCCTGGCTCCTGATGAAGTAACCATCCATACCTACCCATGTATTCCTCATTATGATTCAGACAAGGTTTGCATGCACTTTTTTTTCTTTATCTCTGATGGGGAGGAGATTAGTAAAGTTAATAAAAGAGATTAATTAACCTTTTATGCCTCTTCGAACTACATGCTCGGACAACTTTGTCAGAATAGTTATCTTTGCTTTACTTTTACTGCTTATATGTTAATTAACTCACTTCAGACGGGTCACACAACAGTTGCGTGACCCCCGCCGCGACGCTCGCGACGGGTCTCACAAGCCCTGCGTGACCAACTTTGGAATTTTTTTTCCGCTCTACAAATCACGCACGGATCGCGAGACCCACCTCGTACCCTTGTTTGGCCAAGCCTGAGCTACTTAGACTTCGTTTCGTATCTCTGGGGCCGGTAGTTTTTAAGTTATTGAAGGTGAGGGACAGTGACTCCAACTGGGGTTGAACAGACCGGAACTCGCGCTTTGTTTTTTTCTATACAGCTCATAGTAATCCGACAGTCGCGTCGTAGTAACGGTCGAAGAAGTCGCATGAACAAGAATCACATAATTTCGCCGTTTTCTATACTTCTGTACGTTTTACTAGTTCTAGTGTCTCAGAATATGATGTGTCTAATAGTTAGGATCCTGGATATGTACCCGAACACGGCCCGAGTCGTAGTTCTAGGGCTAGATCTAGCACTAGTACCGGTGTTGTTTTTCGCGCAACGAAATCACAACGTCGTGCCGTACATCTGTCTCATGTAATTCAGTGTATGGGTCTGAATCAATGCACAGACCAGCTTTTATATTTTCACCAAACACTCGCACATGTATACAAATCAAACCAGAACACTTTGAACTTTTATTTTTGTTGTTGCAGTGAATTTCATTCTACTTGTCACGTCTCTGGAAATTTTTCGGAAAATCAAATTCATGCCAATTTTTAAAAAATCATACAAATTAAAGTATTAGACTTAGACAACTTTAGTTTTTTGTATTATATTAAGCTTGAAAGTTACTTTACTGTGTCAAAAAATGATTACAATAGGGTAATTCTGAGAGTTGTGGTGATTTATTGAAATACCCCCAAAAACGCCAGTCTTCAACGCTTGTGGCTGGTGAAAGGGCCCAGTCGCAAGTGAGTTAATACACATACACACACATGTACATATGTAGCATCTCAGTGACTTGGGGGAACATGTCCTACGAACACAGTGCTGCAGTCTGTTACGTTAGTGTTGTTGGCTCCCCTTTGTATTATCCTTTACACCAGACTGGCCAAACTACAGTTACAGTCTGCAGCCAGATCTGGCCCATGAGCAGTTTCAGATTGGTCAGCGAGTAGATCCAATAGTTAATAACAAATGTTCTCTGCCGTGAGTTGATAATTCATAAAAACAAAACTGTCTGTCGGGAAAATTAAAATTAGTAGTTTTAGGCCCCGCTGGAAGCAATAGATCTTATAATGTTATATATGTATATTATTTTTTCATGCCTTTGAATGACAAATGTAGTGTCATTAGTTTTAGTCTCACTTTTGAGAGCTTGGGATGGGTATTTCAACCGATTTCCCCCAATATTCTCCTGCTTTACAGTAGCCTGTGAGATACTCTGAATTGCATAATCCAGCCAGCAACTTGGACAGGCTAGCCCATTCCTGCTTTACATAGCACTCCTGTTTGTACAGGTAGTATGAATTTGTTTTTGAGGCTTGGGGGAATGGTGGAAAGTATGTAAGGCCCCTTTTCCTGTGGGGACAATGTGTATTCTACTAGCTTATCAGGAACTGAATCCCCTTTCTTGCATTTACTGTAAGGGAAAGATACCTCAGCCTCCAGACACAGATATTATTATGTATGTCTCTTTTTACAATTTTCATAATTTATAATCAATACCGGTATGATCTCTTTTGAAAATAGTATTGTAGATTTTTCTTTGTTGCTTTCTCCTCAGGTTCTCCTGATATTTCCGTGTGCAGAGTCACTCACTCTGGCACAGATTGCAAGCACAGCAAAGGAAAAGAGTAATCGTGTGAAATCAGCTCAGGAGTGTTCTGACAGAAGTGCAGTAGACACAGACAAAACCCAGTGTTCCGAAGTTGTTAGCTCTGACAGTGTGACTGTACCCCATGAGAGTACAAATAAACAACAATGTTTTGGTGATCAGAATGAAAATCTCAGTGTATCAAATTCTTTCTCTGGAGAAGATACTGGAAAAACACTGAAGGTTTCTGACCCAGGAATAAAGTTTTCTTCTAAAAGACCTTGTGATAAAGTGGATGCGGCTTCTGGGGCAGACGATGATGATGATGATGATGATGATGGGCCATCGCCATCAAAGAGGTTGAAGGAGACACCTTCTTTGCCTTTCAACAGAGTAGTTTTCATCGATTCCACATGGAACCAGACAAGGAACATTGTGCATGATGAAAGGCTGAAAAGTGAGTATAATCTTATGCTTGAGTTTTATTGTGTTTGTAACATGTTAAATTAGTTTTGAATAGTTCAACTAGAACAGCAAATTATGGGAGCATGCTTAGTATGACTGATTTTTTTGTCAGCACATGTTATCAGGTATGTGACATAAGTGTATCATGTGTATGTTTGTGTGTGTGAATATCAAACATTTCAAACCACACTGGTCTAAATTGAAAGTGGGAGAGTCCGGGATCTGTGAATGTGGACACGACCAAGAGGATGCCTGCCATATCCTTCGTCTTCAGCACTGCCTGCGCTACGCCACCCTTTGTACACAGACGTGGCAGAATGTGACTCCCCTTGAGAGAAAGCTCTATGTTTATGGTAGTCTCTCAGATTTGAAGTGGACTGCACAGTTTGTGCGCGACATCGGACTGACTGTCTAGCTGCTGTCATCGAGAACGAGGAAGAAGAAAGAAGAAAACCACACTGGTGACTCATTAAGTAGATTTTGTCTGATCTTTTATAGAGCTGGAGTGACCGTGCTTAAAAACTCTGGAGCTTTGACTTACTTGAATAATTTAAAACTGAACAGAAATGTAAGGTCTAAGCGATGACAGCTTTGTCTTATTGCTCCTCCGTTTTGTCCAAAACAAGCAGTGGATCCTCAGTGATGGATTGCAGCAATGATAGAAAAACATAGGCGTACATCTTTCGATTAATTAAAGGGTGATTTTTACTTCAGAGCACTTGTTGCCTGAGGAATGGTGAAGCAATAATGAAAAAGAGAGAGAAAGAAAGAGGGCCGTGAAATGTTTGTAGGGGCCTACTGTAGGAAGACCTGCATTTTTGACTGTCTGTCCCTGTGGTTTATGCACCCGGCATAATTTTTGGCATAATTTCTGATTATTTTCCTTTTTTATTCTTTGTTAAAATTAACAGAATCGCATAATTTCACATTTTTGGGCTCAGTTTGCATAATTTCAGAATTTTTCTTGCATAAAACGACGGAGACAGCTATGTATGACTATGAATATGAATAGAGTTGTGTTTAAATTTAGCTGATTGGGAAAGATACCGAGCTGTGTCTGTAATTAATTAGTGATTCTATAGCTTTCATGCCCCTTTCAACCAAATAACTTTATCAAAGAGGCAGGACCTATCTAAATCTGATGTCTATCTCCAATAGGATCGAGCAATGAAGGCGGAGAACCTTGAAAACTTAAAAGAAACCAACAAACCTGCACGTATTGGGGATTGGAACCAGGATCATCTGCACCATGAATATGACACTATCTATAGTGTCGAGAAATGGACTTTAATGGGGCATTTTTTTAGAACAAAAGGGGGTAATATTTGGTAATACAGAGGAAACCTGATATAACAGGGATGGTGGGACCAGTGGAAAAGTCCTGTTACATCAGATCCCTGTTAAATCAGAAATGCAAGGGAAGTAAGCATTTGTGGACTAATCCTGCTGTATTTATTCATTTGTAGTTTCCCTTGCCACAGGTAGGCCTGCGCATGACACATTACGCGTGCGTGTAGCTTGGATTAGGGCTAGATCGAAATGTGCAGCACACCGCAGCCCTCTCTCGCTTCACCCGCTGCGTGTGCTTTCAGTGGCGTGGCTTGCGTGGGCTTGCTTCATCACTGCGTTACTCTTTCTCTCTCTTACTTTTTACACATTGTTAATGTTAACGAGCCCTTGTCCCTGCTGTAACCAGGATCACTGTTATTACCGGGCCTGTTGTATAATATATGGTTTCCACTGTAGTAGTAATGAGCAAATCCTTTAGAAATGAGGTGTGAGGAAGAAATTGTACAATTGTACATCTTGTTCGTCAACAAGTAGGACACCTAGTATTATATATATATATATAAATCAGTATGTACAACTCCAGCCAATGGGAGAATTCTGTTCACAAACCTGTGTTAATCCAATTACTGGTACATGTCCATGTGTATAAGTATAATGTCATTTTTCAATATATCTCAACTTTTGTGGCTTTGACCTTGAGCTACGTATCATCAATATCTATTGGACCAATAGATGCTGATATGTAGTCTAAGATTGGATCTTAGTCTTCTTAGTCCATCATGTGTATTTCAGCTGAAAGAGATAATTTAGCTGGAATATCCTCCTATCTTTTAGTTTACCCTTGACCTTCTTCCTCAGTTGTATTTGTATGAGAGAGACAAAGTATAAAATAGGAAGAATGAGAATCAGTAATTTCATGACACATGGAGTAATCACCCCTAATGATTATCATTATAATATATCATTATAAAATAATTATCCCCCTCCTCTTCTCATCCATTTTGCATTTTAAAATTGCCCCCTGTTAGTTGTTCATGAGCTTTATGCAATGATGAGAGAGTTCAAAAGTTAATTAAGCATGGCGTGTCATGAGAATGAGCTAGTGTGACCAATGATATGTAATAAAATAAATAATCAGGCCATCAACTCTATTCAGGGGTCAGTTTTTTAATTTATGTTTTGTTTTGCTTGATGCACATATACGTTCATTGTAGTATGAAGTGCAGACCACTGTGAACTTGGTAAACAGGCAAAAGGTCAAGGATCTGATTTACTGTTCACTAACTGATTTTACCATGACTTCTTGTCCTGTGTTATTACTGTTAAGAGCTTTGCCTTTAAAATGATGTAGGCTGCATGAGTGTTTTCTGTGTCTTGTGCTTAGCAGTAGGGACAAAAAGCAACCTACATGTAATTTTTTTTGCATTATGTATAGTCGAAACTACTCTGTAGGCTGTCAAAGACAATCACTTATATAAATGACCACTTCCCATTTTCCCCTTGCCTTTTTAAAATATTGTAATGACAATGTCCAAAAACTAACACCTGTCCAAGACAACTTATTAGTTTTTTGACAATTTTGGCCATCTTGGACAATTTCAACTGTATGTTATATATATATTTGTATTTTTTATGTTTCCCCTCTTTATATTTTGTAGGTTTACCGAAGGTGGAATTGCACTCTCGAAACACTCACTTTTGGAGATGGCAGGAAGGAACACCCAAGACTTATTTGTCGACAATAGAGGCCATTTATTATTTCATGAGAGATGTTCATGAAATGTTTATCAGTAAGGAATACAACAATGAATATGATAATTTACTTTTTTTCTTTTGTCATTTGTACAGCAAAATTCGTAAAACTTCTAAAGGCGGGAAAGGAATAAAAGCTTATGAAAGAAATGGAACTAAATGATTCTTTCATGCTGTCCTGGACCCAAGATTTTATTTTTGTCTTTGTGTCTTGTTTACTCAAATGATTAATTATCTGGCCCCCCAGGAAATCGCGGTCTTGTGGCCGCGTTTTTCGTTGAGTTCCGAAATAAACCCGCAATTTCTTGCAATTTTAGGCAAAAATACATCAACGCTTTAATTTTAACAGAATTTTTAATACGAAATGGTGCGAGTAAAGAACCGATAGGCCTACGTATGGTATGGCGTACTCTAAAAGCTATAACGGGAACTTCAGGCCGGAATTAATTATACAACACAAACTGAGACCAAAGATACTACATCTATAGATCTAATGTGTGTAAGCGTGTGCGTGTGTGTGGTGTGCATGTGTGTGCTCGTGTAAGGTGTTCGTGTGTGTGTGTGTCTGTGTGTGTGTGCGTGTGCGCGCGGCCGCGCGTGCGTGTGAATATTGTACGTAATCGTACATGATGCTTGTGTCTACATACACGACGGTAATCGGGCACCTAGTCTCAGTATCTACGTACACGGTAACCGGAATGAAAATAAATCAATATTTGTCCTGTGCTGTCACTTGTTGTAAAAAAAAGAAAGTCATACATGTATGTACAAACGTCTTGTCAAGCCCACCATCGTGACCGGTCAGTGAACCTGTACTTTCGCATCACTTTGTGAGTACCGGTTGGGGTCACCAAAGTTCTTTCAAAGTTTGTGCGCTGTGAAGTATAGGGCTCCAGAATTGGGGGATTATTGATTTTAAAAAAAAAGTACAGTTGGGGGAGGGCTAGGGTTGAAGACAACACTGGATGACAAAAACTGAACTTGGAGTTCTAAACTGCTCAGTTACCGTGTACGTGACACCGGTTGCCGGTTACTGTGTACACTGAGGCTAGGTGCCCGGTTACTGTGTACGTAGACACTCCGTTATGTAAAATGCTTTAGGCTGCGTTCACACGGGAGTGGGCGCTATAGAAATGATCTACATTATTACATGTATTAATATTGTTAATAAATTGAAATTTTTTCTGTATTTTACGATTTGACTTAGTGTTAAAACAATACCATACTGGTTTTAAAAAAGAAAATATATCTGAAATAGATACAGACACAGATTACCGGTGTATCGAAGGTTTCAAGAGAAAAATAGAACAGGATCTGAATTGATTGGAGCATATATAAGCTAATTTTGCATTTAGAGGTTGTTTCAAAAATCTCCCATCAAATTTAACTTTATTGTTTACGTACTCGTGTGTTGTTACTAGTAAATCTTGTTAATAAAATTTGTATTGTGGGTCATGATTTTTTAAAAGGCCGTTCTGCTTTTATGCTACCGGTACTCAAATTGTCATGTTTTTTAAACTAAAAATGTTAAGCCCGTATTAATGCACCAGGGATGGGAAGGTTGCAATTTTTTGCAATTTTTAGGCAGTTTACCTTGCAATTTTTTGCAATTTTTCTATTTCAAAAATGCAATTTTCCACGGGGCCAGAATGATGGATTGGAATGATGACTGAAAATGTTACTACTGTTACTGGCATTCGTCACATATTGATTTTGAATGATAGCCTTGTACTTAACTTAAATTGGAAACGATTATTGGGACTACATGTAACCTAAATAGGCCAAACCACTCATTTAACACCTTATTTGGGCTTTCCGTTTCTCATTATGGTAATTGATCTGGAGAATTGAAGTCGTACGTTTCACTTTCTCAGTTCCGCTTTATTCTCATTCAGTTCAGTTTTATCTCTACACTCAAAGACAGTAGGTCTATGCCAGTGTACAAATTATAAACTATATTGGGAAAAAAGACCAAAGAACGCTCATGCTTTTTTGGTAAATGAATACAATGGAACTCAGATTCAACGAAGTCGTCAGGCCTGACCTTCTATTTCGTTGAATCCGAGTGTTCATTATAGCAAACATGAGGTTTTGGTGTAGATAATTACACGCATTGAGCAAGTAATGTACAGTGGAACTCGGATTAAACGAGAACTCGGATTCAACGAGATGAGATAGATTCCCCATTTTTTTCCTTCTTTGAAATCAATTAAAATAACCTGGATTCAACAAGCACTTAAATTTAAATCAGCAAGCTCGGATTTAACGAGGTCGCTTCCAGGGTGAACAGCACCCGCAGACGTGGCTTCGCTCATTTTTCTCCCAGAGCGAACTTTATCTATTCCAGGAAACCGTCCATTGCACCTGCATCCTGAACCATTATTCACTTAGCCGATTGCATGCGACCAATCAGCAGCATTTTTCCATACCAACACATGCGTTGTTGGCACACGCACGTGTCTACTCTGGCGTGTGTCAGGGTCGGATGGGTGGCCTGCACACGTGTGACTGTGTGCATGTCGGGAAGGGGGGGGCACTAGTGGTCCGGGCGTTGAATATCGCAGGTCGCAGAGATACAAATGCGTCGCAGTCTTTTTTCCCCCCCTCGTCAACTGATCACACTATTAGAATGATAAGCTAGTTTTGACGTAGATCTAGGTAATGAATTGTGTGCTGGTCTATGGAATCAAAAGATTCCGTATGTTAGGCTCTACAGCAACACAACTGTTTGGTAAACAATCGAGATGACACAGGCGTGTGCGTTTGAACAAATCGGTCTTTTTTTTTTTACACAGCTCATAATATGCAGGCATTTCAGGCACTACATGTGACTTCTCTTTATACATTACCTGCTCAGTGCCTGTAATTATCTCCACAAAACCTCGTGTTTGCTATAACAAATTCTCGGATTCAACGAGATTTTAGGTCAGGCCCGGCGACCTTGTTGAATCCGAGTTCCATTGTATTCATTTACCAGAAAAGCATGAGTGTTCTTTGGTCTTTTTTCCAATATAGTTTATAATTTGTACACTGGCATTTTGTCTTTGAGTGTGGAGATAAACTGAACTGAATGAGAATAAAGTGGAACTGAGAAAGTGAAACGTACGACCCAATAAGGTCGCCATTCTACATATTTTTGAATCATCACGAGGTATAAGATTATTTTCATTTAGTCATGTTTTGACTGATAACTTAGACTCCTTGAAAAGCAAGACACATGCCTGTACCGTATGATTATGTGCATTCTAAGTCTAAGGTTTGAATCTGTAGTCTTTTTTTTCTGTTGTATTTGTATCGAGGAATTATTAACGTGTTTGACTTTGAGTCTTCCATCTGAAATCCAGGGATGTTGTTATGTTGTGGCATAAGCTCTGTTGGTATCATGCTAGACTGTAGTGCAGATCATAATGAATATATAGATCTGTGATGTGTTCTTGGACCTTGGTTGCATGGAAAGTTTTCATGACCATCCACCCACTTTGCTCTGTCTTTTGGAAATGATGATTAAATCAGAGGTCCTGTCTCGTACTCGTAAATACATATTACTTTCTCTGTTCATAGGTGCTTTAAACCCATACCATACCAAAACAACTGTTCCCCTATACAATGTAAACGAAATTAAAGATTTGAACTCTGAATACATGTATGTAATGTTTTGTCAGTTGCCTTCAAGTGTGAGCAAGGTTTCAGCATTGTACCTACTGTACTATTCTGTAATATGAAATTTTGGGAGTAATCATTCAGCTATCCGGTACTCGTTTCTAAATTAAGTGTAAACTCCTTTTAGGCTTGTTTGCGAAGCTTTTTACCTTTTTAAAAAGTAGGCCCTACTGTGGATTCAGTAAATAAATGCATTCAAATTCATTACATTTTTATTATAATGTAGACTTTGATTCATTAACATTTTGTATTGTAAATTGTAAGTAAATTTAGTTAACATTAGGAACATGTGTTGTTATTTAAAAGCGGATAAATTATTTCCGGTATGTTGTACTTATATATCAAAGAATGTAGGCCTACATTGTAGTGAGTAGTATGCCTACATGACATGAACATACAGGTTATTACTTAAATATGTAGGAGGGGGAAGATCGATTTCTAGAGAACCATAGTAACAATATCAGTCAGTATTACTAACAGCTACATGATGTTCACTTTTTATGTAGGCCCAACGTGTATAAGGTTTGTTAGCAGAAAGTCCCAATGCATGTCACTTATTAATAGGTTGTTTTCAACTCACGTACTGTACCTTGTTCTCAGTTCTCATATTTTTGTGAAAAATAAAAAATAATGAAAAAGCTTTTTTTTGTCAATTGTTCTTATAGTTTGTGAACTGACTTGTTTAATTTATATTTAGTACTATTTTAAGAGAACAAATTCTCATACTCACGACTCGTTGCCAAATAAAACTGGCCGAAATGTCTCATGGGACTTACAAAGAATTTAGTCAGCTGTAATCATGTTCAGTTTTAAGTTGCTCATAGTCCCCCCCCCCCCTCCCCCGTATGTTACTTTTATCAAAATCAACCTTTGATTTTAATATTATTAATTATAAATGAATGTAGCTATATAAAATTTAGTTGAACACTCCCTCTCTCTCTTTTTACAAATTGTTAACGAGCCTTTGTCCCTGCTATATAACCGATTGGGCTCCGATGAGGCCCTGTTATTGCCGATAACTTTTAAAAGAAATAGAGACAAAGAGTAGGAAAAAGCGGGGATTTAAAAAATCCCTTTTATTGTTATTACTGGATCCCTGTTATTACCGGGCCTATTATTATTATATGGTTTCCACTGTAACTGTAATCATGTTTTTTTGTTAGTTTTAGTAGAGGTTTTACGGCGCTCGCAACTGCACAAGTTCATATGAGCGCCAGAAGATTAGACGTGTTACAAGAGTTAGAGAGTAACAAACATAAAAAAGAAGAAGAGATAAGGACGATAGATGTTTGATAGGAAAGAAGAAGCAAACAACACCAGAGCACCCGCCAACCGCCCACGCTGTAATCATAGAACTTTGGAGGTCCTGCCTTACAATGTTGCAAGGGGTGTTAAATTGTAAACCTCTATACTCTAAATAATTGTGCTCCACTTTATGTAACAATGCAGCCAACAGCTGGTTTAAGTATTTTTGGAAGGTGCTATCAATGCAATTATTAATTTTCAGTCAGCAGCCAGTTGACGCTAAAATACTACATATATCTATATATACATGTACAGCGGAAACCTGATATAACAGGGATGGTGGGAGTAGAGAAAATGTCCTGTTGTATCCGATCCCTGTTAAATCAGAAATGCAAAGGAAAGTAAGCATTTGTGGACTAATCCAGCTGTACTTATTCATGGGTAGTTTCCCTTGCCAAAGTACCCACGAACAGGGGTTTTGGCACCAGCTTTCTCCTTGCCTCCTTAAACCACACCAGAAGAGCTTGGTCCATGGCATCTGCATTGGGTAGTCTCATCTTCTTTTGATCCAGAGCAAACTTTTCATTGGAGTATGCTGCCACTATCTTTTCTCTATCCTTGATAATGGTGTGAATCGACCCTTGTGAAATGTCGAACTGATGACAAATCTCTGCCAGTGGAGCTTGCTTTTTGTCACCAGCCTGGATTATTTCGTATTTTTGTCAATTGAAAGGCATTTTCTCTCGCGCTTGACATAGTTGGTGACGCATTATGCGTGCGTGTTGCTAGGTTTCTGGCTAGATTGAGGTCTGCAGCCCTCTCTCGCTTCACACGCTGCGTGTGCTTG